AGCGTCTGCCTTCGGCTCAGGTCATGATCCCAGGGTCCTGGGATCGAGTCCCACATTGGGCTCCCTGCTCCATGGGAAGCCTGCTTCTCCCTCTCCTGCTCCCCCTGCTTGTGTTCCCTCTCTCGCTGCGTCTCTCTCTGTCAAATAAATAAAAAATCTTAAAAAAAAAAAATAATAATCCCTCAAATCCTACCTCATGTTATTTGCAAACTTTGAGATGGATCACATACCTAAATGTAAAAGCCAAAATTCTCAAATCATTCAAAAACATTAAGAAAATAAGTAGGCAAGCTACAGACTGGGAGAAAATATTTGCAATTAATATATCTGATATGGGACATGTATCCAAAATATTTAATAAACTAGAACCCCATAAGATAAACATTCCAATAAAAGATTGGCAAAGTCTTGACACTTCACAAAAGGAGGTATACATATGGCCCATAAACACATGAAAAAGTGCTTGACATTAATCATCAGGAAAATGCAAACTAAAACTACAGTGAGATAACCACACATTTATAACAATGGCTAATATTGAAGATTTATTTATTTTGAGACTTGCACATTTCATTGTATATAAATTATATCTCAATAAAACAAGAAAAGGGAACAGTGAGATAAAACATTAAGTGTGAATACATTCAAGAAAAGAACTATATATTTTGAGAGAAACACTTGCCATTGACAATGGCAACTCAAAAAAGGAAAAAAAGAGTATTTACCATGATTACAGCTGTACTGGCTAAAGTTAAAGAGAATATATTTATATATTCTATATGTATTTTCTACATATATATCCTATAAATATATTTAAATATATTCCATTTGAATATATATCTATCTTCTAAGTTGAGAAAAAAAGTTTTTTATACCCAGCATAATTTAATTTTAATTTTTTTCATTCTTCTAGTGTCTTTGTACTTGATTCTCTTTACTTAGCTTTGGCTATCAACTCTGCAAAGAGTTGCTCCTTTACACTGTCACAGTTATTACTATGACTTTTTAGTCTTCATAAATTTCAATAAAGAGCTATTTTTCTCCTAAGTGGTTCCTGATAGGTAGATAAAAACTTAAATTATCTTCTTACCTAGTACTTTTTTACCTAAACCTGGTACTTTTGTTTATGAAAGTCAATGCTTGTAAGTTACTCACATTTTCCCCACGTCTTTTTTTTCTTGCAAAGGGCAAATTTAGAGATGTCATCGTCCTTGCCTGGCAAAACACTGTACTTCTTACCATCTAGCTTTACTATTCTGGCTTGCCAAATAAGTAGATAGGGAGATAGATAAATAAATAAATAACTTGCTCAACAGTTCCATTGCTCCTTGTATTTATTATAATAGCACAGCTACTGGGTTTTGATCAGTAGAACAAGTCATTAGTATAAACTGACCTCTGGTGTGACCTTTGTTGCCAGCTTTTTGTTTTGTTTTGTTTTTGTTTTCTTTTGCCAGCTCTTATTTATACTTGGCTTCACCAGTATTTCTTTGCTGCTGCTACTTTTCTTTCATTTATTCCCTTTGATGTGTTGATATTTAGGCTCCCAGACAGGAGTAGGTGGGAACCAGAAGAACAGTCAAGATAACAGGCGAATTTAAGTAAAAAAAAAAAAAAAATCATCTTCCTCTTTCATTAATAATGTCTTATTTCATGAAGACTTGGATTGTTATGATTTTCTTCTCACAGTTCAAATGACAATACCAGTGTCAGTACAGTTATGAATAATACCTAATATGGCTTTAAAATAGCTTTTAGAAATTTAGAAATCACTGGACCCCATCCAGGTTCTATCTGATTTATTAAATGTACTTTGACTATACTCTTACTAATGTCAAGTGGGGAGTCTAGAACTGGAGTGCGAGTCAGGACACCAGCTCTTCTCCATTAATAAGTTGTATAGTTGCTAATAAGAGTTGGACTAGTTGATCTCCAAGTAGATCTACAGCTCTAATTAAAAATTAAGTCAGGGGCGCCTGGGTGGCTCAGTCGCTTAAGCGCCTGCCTTCGGCTCAGGTCATGATCCCAGGGTCCTGGAATCGAGCCCCGTGTTGGGCTCCCGGATCAGCAGAGAGCCTGTTTCTCCCTCTCCCTCTGCTGATCCCCCTGCTTGTGCTCTCTCTCTCTCTGACAAATAAATAAAATCTTTAAAAAAATATGTATTGTGGGTTTACTGGATTTTAGGTGTTGCAGTTGGTCAGAGGCATGGGATGAAGTTGTAGCTTTTGGTTCCTTCCCTAAATCTGGTAAGGAAGAGAGACTATTCAAAGGGAATAAACAGAGTCCTCTGTTGGAATGAAGATGGAAGACAACAGTTCTCCTCAAGGTTGTGAAGGTACACAGGCTAAATCAGAAAATGCTGCTTTAAAATTCTGACCCTACAATCCTCCTTGGATCTACAGAGGAGAGCAACATCTGTAGATCTCCTTCTTATACCCAACTGTTCTCTAACTGCTCTTCTTCCTGTATTATTGTCCCTGTCATTTATTAGGTTTCGGCTACACTGCCTTCCCATTCCTGGAAAGAACTAAGCTTTTTCCTGGCTCAGAACCTTAGCATTCACTGTTCTGCCTGGGATGGACCTCTTCCTTCAGTTCTTCTAATAGGTGACTCCTCCTTTCAGATTTCAGTTTAAATGTCACTTTCCCACCGCCCTATCTAAAAATAGCTCTTTTGCACTCATTAGTGCTTTCTTCTAATTGAAAATATTATATTTAATTACTTTTCCACTCATTAGTGCTTTCTTCTAATTGAAAATATTATATTTAATTACTTTTTCTACACTACAATATAAGCTCCTTGCGGACAAGAACAACTTCCTCCTCCTCCTCTCTCTTCCTCCTCCTCTTCCTCTTCTTCTTCTTTTCTAATGGACTCTATCTCCACAGCTTAAAACAACACCTGCCATTTAGTGAGCACTCAATAAGTATATGTTTAGTGAACAAATATTTGGATCCCTGTTTGGATCCCAGAATCCAAATATCTGGCTCCAGGAAATACTCTCAATTATTTGATTGATCTATCTATCATCTATCTATCTATCTATCTATCTATCTATCTATCTATCTATCATCTATCTATCATCTATCTATAGATACACTACTTAGAAGGGGAAAACATAAAACACATTCCTTCTTAGATTTATCCCTGCTTTCTTTGCAGCCTTAGACTAAAAGTTTCATTTATTTTCATTTCATTTCACTTTATCTATATTTTAATGCTGATTTGAGCATCAACAGTAACAGGGATGAACTTTATTTTTTTATTTTTTTAACGATTTTATTTGACAGAGAGAGAGGGAGAGAGAAAGAGAGGAAGCACAATGAGGGGTTGTGGTGGAGGGAGAGGGAAAGGGAAATGGAGAAGGCTCCCTGCTGAGCAGGGAGCCCAGTGTGGGGCTCCATCCCAGGACCCTGGGATCACGACCTGAGCCGAAGGCAGACATTTAATGGACTGAGCCACCCAGGTGCCCCCAGAGATGAACTTTAAAACATATATAAAGGTGTTGTCCCACTCCACTAAATAGGAATTTTATAGGTACACAAACCAACACATTTAACTAGTGTGGGGCCAACCCACAGATCACGGATTTTATAGAAATTTCTGCCTTATAAACTTGGTTTAGGATTTTTGCAGCTAAGTTAATGAAGGATATTGATATGCAGTTTTCTTTCCTGTAATGTCCTTGTCAGATTTTGTACAGGGTTACGCTGGCCTCAGAAAAGGAGTTGGCAAGTGTTCTCTCCTCCTATATTCTCTTAAAAAGTTTGTGTAGATTGGGGCGCCTGGGTGGCTCAGTTGGTTAAGCGTTTGCCTTCAGCTCAGGTCATGATTCCAGAGTCCTGGGATTGAGCCCCATATGGGGCTCCTTGCTCAGCGTTGGTATTATTTCTTCCTTACATTTTGGTAGAACTTACCAGTGAATTCTGTAGCCTACAGGAGTTTTGGGGTGGGAAGATTTTAAATTTTCTGTTCAATTTCATTGATGTAAGATGTTCAGATTTTGTATTTCCTCTTATGTTCATTTCAGAAAGTTTTTTTTTAAAGATCCATTTATTTATTTGAGAGAGAGAGAATGCACACAAGTGGGGGGAGGGGCAGAGGAGAGACTCTTCAAGCAGCCTGCTGAGCGTGGAGCCCGATATGGGGATTGATCCCACAATCCATGAGATCACGACCTGAGCAGAAACCAAGAGCCAGATGCTTAACCGACTGACCCACCCAGGCACCCCTCAGAAAGTTGTTTTAATGGAAGGTGTCCATTTCCCCTAAGTTGTCAAACTTACTGGCATGAAAGTTGTTCATATATTTCTCTATTATCCTTTTGATGTCTGTAGGATTTGAAGTGATGTCTTCTTTCCCATTCCTAATATTGTTAATTTACATTTTCTCTTATTTTCTTGATTAGTATTGCCAGGGGCTTATCAACATTATTAATCTTTTTAAAGAACCAACTATTGCATTTCTTTTTTTTTTTTTTCTTAACATGTTTTAATCATATCAATACAATCATCAGGTGACACTTTGGAGACTGATTAGTATGTCATGTGAGGTATTATAAGTAAAACCAAAACTCTCATCCGCCTGTGAACGATATTACTTTCCTACATAGGTTTGACATAAAATCACTGCCTGATGTTACTGTGACTTTTTATCAAGATTATGTCATCACGTTACTCACATCCAAGCTTCTGCAGGTCTGAAATTTTCTTCCCACTGAATATGTAGTGGGAATTCCAGTTGATAACATTTTTTAAAAATTTTTTTAAAAAATTTATTTGAGAGAGAGAATGAGAGAGAGAGAGAGCACATGAGAGGGGGGAGGGTCAGAGGGAGAAGCAGACTCCCTGCCGAGCAGGGAGCCCGATGCGGGACTTGATCCAGGGACTCCAGGATCATGACCTGAGCCAAAGGCAGTCGCTTAACCAACTGAGTCACCCAGGCGCCCCAGTTGATAACATTTTTGTTAAGAAAGAAAGAAAGAAAGAAAGAAAGAAAGAAAGAAAGAAAGAAAGAAAGAAAGAAAGAAAAGAATCAACTGAGTCAAGTTGTCTTAGTCTTAAGAATTTCTGGATTTCGTCCTTGGAGGAGGTCAGGATCTTCCCAAGGTCTGGGTCGTTGAATATTCTTCCAGTCATCAAAAGCAGAGTCCTTTATTTTCTCATACTCTGATTCCAATGATACTTTATTCATTTTCAGTTTTTTTTCTAATTCAGGATCAATCTTAATTTTCACAGCATCAGAGTGGATTTGTGAAAATTCACAAAGACCAAAAGAACCTCCAACAATCAGCAACAGCATGGGGACTCCGTAGCAAAGCGTCTTGTTCTTGCACAAGGCGCGCATCACCATATGTACAGACATGACTGAACTCTCCCACGCGTGGACGCCTAGTCCAACAGGCCTAGCGCGGCCTCCCGAATCCAAGCTCTCTCCCCAGGAGGAAGTCCTTGACTCGCCTCCTTTCCTTGGCCTCCAACTATTGCATTTCTTGATCTTCTCTATTGCTTGCCTATTTCTATTCCATTGACTTCTGTTCTTATCTTTGTCTTCCTTCTTTCTACTCTGCATTTAATTTTTTTTATTGTGGTAAAGAACACATAAAATTTACCATCTTAACCATTTTTAAGTGTACAGTTCGGTAGCGGTTAAGTATATTCACATTGCTGTGAGACAGATCTCCAGAACATTTCCATCTGGCAAATCTGAAACTCTATATCCATTAAATAGTAATTTCTCTTTCCCCTTTCCTCCAGCTTCTGGTAACCACCATTCTATTTTCTGTGTCTATGAATTTGACTTAGATACCTCATATAAGTGGAATCATATGGTATTTGTCTTTTTGTGACTGGCCTATTTCACTTAGCACAGTGTCCTCAAGGTTCATTTATGTTCTAGTGTGTGACAGGATTTCTTTCCTTTTGAAGATGGATTAATATTCCATTTATCTGTCCGTGCACATTTGGGTTCCTTCTACCTCTTGGCTGTTATGAATGAATATGAGTGTTCATATGGGCTATGAATGTGAATATGCAAATATTTCTGAGACCCTACTTTCAATTCTTTTGGATATATAGCCAGAAGTGAGATTGTTGGGTCATGACAGTTCTATTCTCAATTTTTTGAAGAACCTCCATACTGTTTTCCATAGGGGGCTCACCATCTTGCAATCCCACCAACAGTGCACAAAGGTTCCAATTTCTCCACATCCTCACTCACACTTGTTATTATTTTTTGTTGTTGTTGTTAATAGTAACCATCCTAATAGGTGTGAGATGCTACCTTGTGGTTTTGATTTGCATTTATCCGAATGTTGAGTATCTTTTCATATGCTTATTGGGCATTTGTATATCATCTTTGGAGAAATGTTTGTACAAGTCCTTTTCCCACTGTTTAACTGGGTTATTTGATTTTTTGTTATTGTTGTAGTCATTCTTCATATATTCTAGATATTAAGAATATATATTGAGTTGAAGGAGTAACATATATTCTGGATATCTTATCAGATACATGATTTGCAAATATTTTCTCCCTTTCCATAGGTTTCCCTTCCACTCTGTTGTGTTCTTTGATGAAGAAAAGTTTTTTTTTTTTTTAAAGATTTTATTTATTCATTTGAGACACAGAGATACAGAGAGAGAGAGAAAGCATGAGCAGGGGAGAGAGGCAGAGGGAGAGGGAGAAGCAGGCTCCTCGCTGAGCCAGGAGCCCGATGTGGGGCTCGATCCCAGGACCCTGGGATCATGACCTGAGCTGAAGGCAGACGCTTAACCATCTGAGCCACCCAGGTGCCCCAATGAAGAAAAGTTTTTAAGTTTGACACAGTTCCATTTGTCTATCTTTGCTCTTGTTGCCTGTGCTATGTCTGTCATTTTTGTTGAAATCATTGCCAAGTCCAAAGATTTTCCCCCTATGTTTTCTCCTACAAGTTTTATAGTTTTAGGTCTTAAACCCATTTTGAGTGAACTTTTGTATATGGTGTAACATAAGGGTCCAACTTCATTCTTCTGCAAGTGGATATTGTTTTCCCAACACCATTTGTTGAGAAGACTGTCCTTTCCCCATTGATTTGTCATGGCACCTTTGTTTGAAGATAATGTAACCACCTACGTGAGGGCTTTTAATTTTTTTTATTATTTTAGAGTTTTAAGTTCACAGCAAAGTTGAGTAGGAAGTACAGTTCCCATATGCCCCCTGCTCCCCTCCACATGGTAGTATGATTTTATTTCCTGATGTGAACTTACACTGCTGATTTTAAAACTCTTCTTTTCAAATATATGCATTGAAAGCTACAGATGTCCCTGTAAATACTACTTCAGCTGTATCCCATAAATTCTACTATAATTTTCTTCTAGTTCAAACTCTTTTTAAGTTTCCACTGTCTTCTTTGACATAGAGGTTTAGAACTATGTTGCTTAGTTACCATATATTTGTGGATTTTCTATCTTTTTGTTATCTCTAGGTGAATTTTATTGTGGTTAGAGACCATGCTCTAATTTCAAGCCTTTTAAAATTTTATACGTGCTTTATGGCCCTGCCTCACAAACCTGATTTTGTTTTGTTATGATGGGATAAGGATGGTGTGTTCAGATGATCATTTTTTTCTGCTTTGGTCATGTATACATTGTGGTGGTTCAACACTGCTTTTAAAAACTAAAACAGCATCCCATTCATCTGGAGGGCCTCTAGGCTCACACCACAGTGTCTGGATGCAGTCAAAGCCAGAGTACTGGCTAGCTGCATCACCTGTTTTAGGAAGCCCCCCACCCCCCTCACGTACCGGCAGGACAGCACAACTCAGATATCCGTGTACTTTACAAAGCAACGGATGTAGCACTCTCACATTTATCCCACTGGCCGGCTCTTCAGAGGCTATAGTGCTAACAATTCTCAAAACCCAGCAGCTCTCATGGGAGAGGGAGCTGGATAGAGTTCCAGAAAGATGAAAGAAGAATGCCTCCTCCCTGGATGAAGAGAACATGTACCTTGCAAGGCCTAAGGAAGCAGCGCCTCGGGTAACAGCTCCCCTTCGCCTCGGCTGCCCAGTAACCCACCCGGGGAGAGCGCCTGCAGCGCAGAACAAACCCTCCCGCCTTCTTCCCCAGCTACTCAAACTTCCACAGGGAAGAAGAACTGGGCGTGGCAAAGAAGCCCGTCAGCGAACCGCCCCCCACGTGACCGAAGAGAGGGCGAGGAGGGCCTGAGGAGCCTGCGTCCACTCAGGCCCCTCCCACTTTACGGCATTCGGTGGCCCCGCCCCCTCGAGTATAGGGTGGAGCACGAGGCCCCGCCTCCAAACTGCCTCTCCTCGAGGGCCAGGCTGGCCAGTGGGGCGGGGCAAGAGGCCGGGAGAGGACTGGAGCAGGGGGAGGAGAGGAAAGGAAGGGAGGGGTCACGTGCGGCCAGCGGCTAGAGGTCACGTGACGGGCGCTGGGGCGGAGGGAATCTGGACTGGGAGTTCTGAGGGAAGCGGAGTGAGGTGGCGGGGACGCGGCGGCGGCGCTGACAATGGTGAGTGCGCGGCTGCCCGCGCGCTCGCCTCCAGCTCTGGCGTCAGAGCGCGCGGCGGGACGGCCAACGGCGGGCTTGGTGTCGCGGGTGGGGCGGAGGGCAACGGCAGGAGGGGGGCAGCCAGCAGGGCGGGGAGCGGGGTTGGGCCTGTCTGGCCGCCGCGGGATCGGGGAAGGGCGGGCGGCAGCGCCGCCTCTTCCCGGTCTCGCAGAGGCCCGGGCACCTGCGGGCGGCGGCGCGCTCTCCTGGCCATGTCGGAGCCTCTGCCCGCCTTCCTCGACCGGCTCTGGGGGCCCTGGCTGGGTACTCGGACCCCCCCTGTGCGGGGGCTCAGCGCCGCCTCCCCTTCCAAGGTAGCCAGTTCCTCTGCTCCTTCCGGACAGCCTTGCTTCCCTGCAGGTGGAGTGACCCGGGAGTCCCCCAGTTCCGGGCTGGGGTGGGGGGGAGGGACTGGGTCACTCTCTTCCAGTGTGTCACGGGATTGATAAACTCCGCGTTTTTCTTTTGTTTTTATCTCGATGTGGTGACATTCGGCGATATCTTGACCCCAGTTCAGCCTTGATGTTGACACTTGTAGAACGGGAGAGAAAAGGACATTGAAGTGGGGACGTCTTTAATTCAAAACACACTGGTTTTGTGCCCGCTAGTTTAAGCTCTGGCTCTCATTTCCTTCCCCAAGCCATTTTCTCGAAACTTAACGCTTTGGGATGTTGAAATGGCCTAGGGAGCAGAGAAGGGAGGGAAGTCAGAGTACTCTAACCAGTTCGTGGGAAGCACAGGCGTGGGCACGATGCGTTTAACTTTGTGTTGGCCATCTCCTCTAGATTGGATCTCATTTGGCTCACTTTATGCTATTCGTTTCATTTAGCAAGCATACGTTGAGCGCCTGCTGTGTGCTCTCCTGATACCATCAGCTTTCCCAAAACTCACCAGTTCAGTAAACTGCCTGAGACTTTTGGCTTAAGACGAAGCTAGGTTTACTTAAAAAAAAAAAAAAAAGTTGTTTTGAATAAATGCATTTTAAACTCAGAAGGCGTGTTGATTTGATTAAAATTAGAAAAGTAAAGACAGGCATATTCATTCTTTTTTTAAAATTTTTTATTGTTATGTTAATCACCATACATTACGTCATTAGTTTTTGATGTAGTGTTCCATGATTTATTGTTTGTGCATAATACCCAGTGCTCCATGCAGAATGTGCCCTCTTTAATACCCATCACCAGGCTAACCCGTCCTCACACCCAGGCATATTCATTCTTAAACTTGGGGCCTTTTTTTTTTTTTTTCATGCAACAAATAATTATTTAGGCGTACCCAAGGGCCACTAGCAAAACTGAAATAGCCCTTGCTCTCTTGTAGCTTACAATCTAGAGGGAGGTAAACATCTATTTGTGTAATTATTTGTTTAACGTGGAAATAACAGTTGTGATAAATCTAACAAGTATTGGGAGACCTTGCCTAGTCAGGGAGTTAGGGAAGTCTTTAATTGAATATACTTTGCCAAGAATTAAAAGTTTTTTGCTTATTTTAAAAATTACTTTTAATAAGCTTTAGAATTAGTTTAAGAGCAATTTATTTTCAAGTTACTCGTCAAACATAAACTAAATTGTAAAGCTTTATAACACTGAAATGGGCATAAATGCAATCTATGCATGAAAATTTGCTGTTTCATTGCCTGTGTAAATTTTGAGAGTCCCTTTCCACTCACCTTGAGTTGCATTTCTTTATATCCACTGGAAGGAGTGAAATTTCTTCAGTGAGGGCTAGAAAATTTGTTGACTTTTAACATATCCACATGCAATTTTGCTGGATGGTAATGCTCAGTAGGGGTTTATGAATTATATGAAAAATCTTAAATTAACCTACAGGTGATAATGAAGGTTAGGCCACAAGTAGAAAACTGTAAAAACAATGCTATAATCTTTTAATAGTCATGTGTATTGCAGCAGTCTAGTTATTTAAAGGCTACCTGAGTTTTGACTTGTATATTACTAATACTGCTCCTGAAAATCTCATATTCTGAGTGCTCACTTGAAGCTATCTTCGCCAGAACTGAGTAGTCTTTCGCTTTAAAATATCTCTTCTGTAATTTCAGCAAAAGTCTGTGTTAATGTTTCCTAACCTTCTTTACAGTTTTCATTCCCTTTCCACCTCCTAGTCTTCACCATCCTGTCAATTACGTATTTTGTTTCCTCTTTACATATCAGGAGAATTATTATAATTTGTGAATAATTTTTAAAAAGATTTTAAGTTTTACATTTTCTTTTAAATGACAAAAGATGCACATCTTGCAATAAAAACTTCAAAAGCAAGACTTTTGAAAAAAGGAATCTTTTTCTTTCAACTCCTTTTAGAAGGAAAACAAAAAAGACAAACTTTTTTCTCAGATATTTTCTCTCTTTGTCGTCTACTTGTTAAATGTAAGACATCAACAGTTTTCTTGGGACTTTTAGTAAGACTAGTTCATTTTTGATGTGTCCTAGTGTGAAAAACTGGATGTTAACCTGGTGCTAAATTCTCTGTTAACCTTTTAAGGTACTGTAGCTTATTACTCAACCTATTAGGCATGTGTTGTAACTAAGCTTTTAAAAAATACCTTCTGATCTCTCCCCATCTTAGTGTTTTGATTGTGTTGAAAAGTAAGTCTGCTTTTTAAATTTTTAGTTACGAAATACTTCGTAACTTCGTGCATACAGAAAGTAATAGAGGATAACACATAGCTTTCACATATTTTTAATGCCTAGGAATTTTTCATTTTTATCTATGGTGTCAAAATAAGACTTTAATTACAATTATGTTATTGGTTAATTGTGAAGTTTTATAAGACTTCAGTCTCTTTTACACCACTTTAATTAGTGGCAATTTTGATTTTATTATTTTTGATTACTTGATCTTTTATTTTTATTTTTATTTTTTTTAAAGATTTTATTTATTTGACAGAGAGAGACACAGCGAGAGAGGGAACACAAGCAGGGGGAGTGGGAGAGGGAGAAGCAGGCTTCCCGTGGAGCAGGGAGCCTGATGTGGGGCTCCATTCCAGGACCCCGGGATCATGACCTGAGCCACCCAGGCGTCCCTGATTACTTGATCTTTTAATATCAGCTTTCAAATCCCAAGTTCAGCACTGTGTGTTAAGTATCCATATGTGGAAAAAGTTACCATAATATTTTCTTTTATCCATAAAACAATTTTTATAGTTTTCAAATCTCATTTTTCCCAGAAGCATCTCTGGGATGTTTTAAGGGGGAATGAGAAAATTAAATTTTATTTTCCTGCTTCTATTTTTATCTTAAATGAGGCTGTTGTCTTCTACCCTTTCAGAATTGCTCTTCCCATAGTAGCTTCCCCCTACCCTGGCTGGCTCTGTAGTTTGCATATAGTTGAGAATTAGTAAATATCAGCAGCCTGATTTTGAGCTGCTGTACATTCTCATATCTGTAGCCCTTAGGAAAAAATACACCATTTTGCGCAAGTTTTGAGTATAAAACTTGGAGTATGAAAGCTAACTGGGAAGGGGCATTGCATGTGACCTATCATTGATGTTTTTCATTCTAAGTTCAGAATAGTTTTCTGATTAAAATTAATTTTCTGGTTAAAATTGACTTTGTTATTTGTAATGTTGCCAGGGAAGATTAAAACATTGTTGAAAGGAAAAAATGCTGTGTCTTTGTAGTATGTCAGAAGTACAAATCTGGCAATTCTTTGAGTTGATTTCTTGAAATTACAATCTTTTTGTTAATAAAGGATTAATAATAACAAAAAAGCAAGCTCAGAATTTAAGGAAACACTGTCTACTTTGATCATAGTATCACCCTGTGCCCTGCAGAGTTTTAAGAGGATCATTAGCTTGCTTGCTGTTACTCTGCTACCTGAGGACAGAACTGAGGCTTGATGCAAGTTCTTGCTCTAGACTTAGCTACTGCGCCAAAGCTAACTTCCTCGGGGAGGTCTCGTCTTTCCAGATATTCTGGATTTAACTCATTTCTTTTGTGTATCCATTTATTTTTTATTATCAGGACAGTATGTGTTTTATTCAAAATTAATTTAACACTCAATAGGTATTTGAATGCTTTCTACTAAATGCCACACACTACCCCTAGCTACTCTCTTCAGTGATGAGCAAAGGATAAAGTATCTGTCCTCATGGAGTTTACAGTTCAGTCAGGGATTCAGGTATTGAATAATCACGTTATAACAAATGATGAAGTAATAAAACTACATGGTGTTGTGAGGCCTAAATTTGGAGACTCTGGTTTCAGTTTAGGAAGGTATGGGAGGCCTCTTTATGGAAATGAGTCAGACTGAGACTAAGAGGCTGAATTAGTTAGGTTAAGGATACTTGGTCTAGGACAAGAAGGAACCTGGCAAATTTGATTAACTTGGATAATTTGAGGCTGGTGTGGCTGGAGAGATGGATAGAGCCAGATATATGTAGGCCACGTTAGGGACTACAGTGTGTGTGTGTGTGTGTGTGTGTGTGCACGCGCTTGGGCACACGCGTGCACATGTTTAAAATAACATTTCATTGAAGTACAAAAAAGTGCAAATAAGTATATAGCTTGATGATTTTTTCACAAAGTGAACAAACCTGTGTGTGAAGTGCTCAGATAGAAACAAACAACATAATTAGCACCCCAGAAACTCCCTCTATGCTTTCTTCTAACCACTTCCTGACTTCTGATGCTATAATGTATGCTACATGTTTTTGGCTTTTTAATAAATGGAATTATATAGTATGTGTGAAAGTTATCCTTGTGTATAGTTGTGTCTCATTCCTTTGCCTATTGTATGAATATAGAATAAACTTTATGTATCCATTCTCTTGTTGATGAATGTTTGGATTGTTTCCTATTTGGGGCTTTATGAACAATGATATTAACATTCTTACATTTGTTTCCTGGTTCATGTATGTAAGAGTTTCTCTTTAGGGTAGGTATCTAAGGGTATAATTGCTGGGTCATGGGATATGTATATCTTCAGCTTTACCAGGTAATACCAACTGTTTTCTAAAGTAGTTGTTCCAATTTATACTCTTACCAGCCCACTGAAGAATTTTAAACAAAATGATCAGATTTATGTTTTTAAGAGATTACTATGGTTGTGTAGGGCAGACTAAGAAGGGATGTAGGATGACAGTATAGAAGACTGTTGATGTAAATTTTAAAAAAGACTAGAAGACTAGCTTTCTTTAGTGACAAAAATGATCCACAACTGTATCTGATACTGGAATTGCTAATGGATTCCATATTATTACCAGCTAATGTGTTTTGGCATTCACAAGCAGTTGGTCTTTGTTCCCTTATATTTCTGTCATATTCAGGATTTACATAACAAGGCTTACACATTTTCTTTGGAAGAATTCACAGAAATTTAGTCTCCTCCTTTAGAGCCAGTTTTTTTTTTTTTTTTTTTTTTTTTTTTGTAAGATTTTATTTATTTGCGAGAGAGAATGAGAGACAGAGAGCGTGAGAGCATGAGAGGGAGGAGGGTCAGAGGGAGAAGCAGACTCCCTGCTGAGCAGGGAGCCTGATGTGGGACTGGATCCCGGGACTCCGGGATCATGACCTGAGCCGAAGGCAGTTGCTTAACCAACTGAGCCACCCAGGCGCCCTAGAGCCAGTTTTATTTCAAGGGTTTATACAACGTAACACATCCTGTTCAGACCTATATAGCAGTACGTTTTATAGTAAATAGTACATTGTAATAATTCATTTGGATTTGTACACATAATTTGGATTGTATGAGTTCTGCATATGAAATAACAGCATAGAAGTATAACTAAAGGTAACTTTTCAAATCCAGATGTTAAGAATTAATTTTTTAGATTTCTGGTATATGGTAGTAATTGATTATTTAGAGTGGTTACCTATGGAAATGATTGAAATTATAGCATGTTTAGGGGTGCCTGGGTGGCGGTGATGTTAAGCATCTGCCTTCGGCTCAGGTCATGATCCCAGCGTCCTGGGATCGAGCCCCGCATCGGGCTCCCTGCTCCGCGGGAAGCCTGCTTCTCCTTCTCCCACTCCCCCTGCTTGTGTTCCCTCTCTTGCTGTGTCTCTCTGTCAAATAAATAAAAAAATCTTAAAAAAAAATTATAGCATGTTTAAATTTAAATTTTCTTTTTGTCTTTTAAAAAACTGTGGTAAAAAACATACAATATGAATTTGTCCTCTTAACAAATTTTAATGTACAGTACAGTATTAGCTGTATGTACATTGTTATACTAAATTTGTTTAGTTTTGATGTAGAATTTGATATAAGTTCTTATTTCCATGTTGTACTTACAGATTTGCAGTCTGTTTAACTGTAGGTCAGAGATAATTAGATTTGAATTACAAAATGGAGTGACTGACAAAACATAATTATGAGCATTTTCCTTTTATTTCAGAGTTTTCTTGGAGGCTTTTTTGGACCCATCTGTGAGATCGATGTTGTCCTTAATGATGGAGAAACCAGGAAAATGGCTGAAATGAAAACTGAAGATGGCAAAGTAGAAAAACACTATCTTTTTTATGACGGAGAATCTGTTTCAGGAAAGGTAAATCTTTTCTTTGTGAGAAGTACCTAGTTGTAGGATATTAGAATTAGTCATCAAAGTTGTCTGTACTCTTTCTAAATATCAATAATTTTGTTAGAGATGGAAAGTTTTTTTAGAAGGTCAGCTAAAATCCTTGATTCATTAGAGCATTTACAGGAAAGATTCTTAAACCGGAAGGGTTACAGGGGCAGAGTCTAAAATTGCAAGCAGAATTTTGTGTTTGTGACTATGCATCTGTTTTGCTTCACTTTCTCCAATGGGGCTGTGATCCACTCAGAGTTTGTTTCTCCTTTTATACATTGAGTTAGATTGGCGATAACTCTTTAGTATACCTTTAAATGTTTCATTCTTTATAGCTTATCTCTCTGCACTACTACCATTGTGTCTGTTGATTTCATTCCTTGGTACTCTGTGGAGGACTTAATGTACGTTTGGAATGTATATGTGCATGGTCAGGTACATCTGTGATCCCTTCTGTAAGGTTTCACTTTTCCCCCTTTTCCTTATCAAGTGATGTATGAAAGTAATCTTATACCTTAGCGAATATGATTAATACTCATTAATCATAATTTTTTTTTAAGAGGCTCCAAGCCAAACGTGGGGCTTGAACTCACGACCCTGACTGAGATTAAGAGTCCAGTGCTCTAGGGGTGCCTGGGTGGCTCAGTCAGTTGGGCATCCGACTCTTGACCCCAGCTCAGGTCTTGATCTAGGTGTGGTGAATTCAAGTCCTGCATTGGGCCAGGTGTGGAGCCCACTTAAAAAAAAAAAAAAAAGTCACGTGCTCTACTGACTGAGCCAGCCAGGCGCCCCTTTTTTGTTTGTTTTTAAGTCTAGTAGGGAACAATTACTGTCTGGTTTAAAGTGATCTTATATCATCTGGTCTAGTTAGGAGTTTGTGGCTGATGTTTTTAGGACAAATAAAGGAAGATGGGAAATAGAAGGGGAATAAGGGGAATAAAAGCTACTTCAGTGTGGTTTATAGAAAATAGTGCACCTTCAGATTACATTTTTGGAATTGCTAGACGTCATATGTAGTCCTAATCAATAACTATAGATTACATTTTAAAAAATGATAATTTATAGATAAATATTTTCTGTTGCTCAAAAGATACTGTATCTGGAATCTGATTATTTATTGACCTGAAATTTTTTTCATTTTTAACCTTTTATTGTAAAATAAAACACATATCGAAAACCACAAAACAAATAAATAATCATAAGGCATGTTTTCTTGTAATCACTATTCAAGGAGAACTTTGCCAACTACCCCTGTGTCTGATCCCAAACATAGCCTCTTCCTCACAAAAGAAATCACTATGCTGACTTTTATAATAATAAAGTTCCTTGTGTTTCTTAATTGTTTAGTCTTGCTCCCTTAAGCAGATTAATATGGCTTTTAAATCTCTTTTAATCTCACATTCCCTCTTCATGCTTTTCTTTTCCTATACTTTGAAGAACCTGAGACACTCAAATATAGAGTTCTCTGTTATTGCATACTCATGATACAGTTGTTGCCTGTAAATTGGTAGCTGTTTCTAGAAGCTTGATCAGAGTCAAGTTCAATTCTTTTGGCAAGAGTATATGTGGTGGTGTGTTCTTTTTATCAGGGGGGTATATGATGTTTGGTTTTCTCTTTTTTGCAAGTGTTGTAACTGCTATTAATATTGATTCCTGGCATACCTTTAGAATAGGTTATTAAATAGGTGACTTATGAGTACTTTGAAAAGAAAGCTTTAAAGAAAGAGAGGAAAACAAGCATTGGTTACCTGTGACCCAGCATGTTCTCTAAGAACAAGTCTAGGCTTTCTGAAATATCTGAGTATAATAAAAAGATCATTGGGTTAGAGTTGGAAGATCTAGTCTTGACTTTACCCCTGACTTGGTAGGTAACTCTGGGCAGTCATTTAACTTTGTGGATCTCACTTTAAAATTAGGGAAGTTGGACTGAATAATTGGTTTCCAAATTTGGTTTCACATTATAGTGTCTTTGCATAAAAATCCTTCATACCTTAGATATAATTTTGAAGTTCTGAGAGTCTGACATCCCAACCACAGCAAGGATAAATTCCTTTTATGATATTCTTTTTTTTTTTTTAATTTATTTGACAGAGAGAGAGCGAGAGCAGGAACACAAGCAGGGGAGTGGGAGAGGGAGAAGCAGGCTTCCTGCCGAGCAGGGAGCCTGATGTGGGACTCGATCCCAGGACCCTGGGATCATGACCTGAGCCGAAGGCAGACGCTTAACGACTGAGCCACCCAGGCGCCCCCCTTTTATGATATTCTTGACATGTGAATTTCTGTCTGCACACTTTTTTTTCCAGACCTTTTTTTTTTAAAGGATTATTTTTTTAGAGCAGTTTTAGGTTTATAACAAAATAGAGAGGGAAGTACAGGTATTTCCTATATGCCTCCTGCCCCTACACATGCATAGCCTCTCCCATTATCGATCTCATTCACCAGAAGGCACAGTTTTCACCAAGGGTGAACTTACATCGACACATCATAATCACCCAGTCCGTAGTTTACCTGAGGGTTCACTCTTGGTGTTGTTATTCCGTGGGTTTGGACAAATGTATAATGACATATGTTCATCATTATAATATCGTACAAAGTATTTTCATTGCCCTAAAAATCCTCTTTGTTCTGCCTGTTCATCTTTCCTGTCTTGCCTGCCAAACCACTGACCTTTATATTGTTTCCATAGTTTTGCTTTTTGCAGAATGTCATGTAGTTGGAATCATACAGTATCTAGCCTCTTCATACTGGCTTCTTTCACTTAATAATACACATTTAAGGTTCCTCTGTGTCTTTACAGCTTTATAGCTCATTTCTCTTTAGTGTTGAATAATATTCCATTATCAAGATGTACCACAGTTTATATATCCGTTTACCTGCTGAAGGACATCTTGGTTGCTTCCAAGTTTTGGCAACTATGAATGAAGCTGCTGTAAACATCTGTGTGTAGGTTTTTGTATAGGCATAAGTTTTCAACCCGTTTGGATGAATACCTAGCAGTGTGCTTGCTGGATTGTATGGTAAGCCTATCTTTAGCTCTGTAAGAAACTGCCAAACTGTCTTCCAGTGTAATGCTACTATTTTGCATTCCTTCAGCAGTGACTGAGAGTTCCTGTTGATCCACATCCTTGCCAACATTTGGTGTTGTTAGCATTCCGGATTTGGTCCATTTTAATAGGTGTGTAGTTGGTAATACGATGTTGAACATCTTTTCTTTCTTTCTTTTTTTTTTTTTAAAGATTTTATTTATTTATTTATTTGAGACAGAGAGAATGAGAGAGAGCACATGAGAGGGGGGAGGGCCAGAGGGAGAAGCAGACTCCCTGCCGAGCAGGGAGCCCGATGCGGGACTCGATCCCGGGACTCCAGGATCATGACCTGAGCCGAAGGCAGTCGCTTAACCAACTGAGCCACCCAGGCGCCCTGTTGAACATCTTTTCTATGTTTATTTGCCAAGTGTATATCTTCTTTAGTGAGGTGCCTGTTCAGATCTTCTGCCTACTTTTTATTTTTTTAATTTTATTTATTTTTTCCACAATTCACAGCACTCACCATAGCACATACCCTCCCCAGTGTCCGTCACCCAGCCACCCCATCCCTCCCGCCCCCCTTCACTCCAGCAACCCTCAGTTTGTTTTCTGAGTTTAAAAGTCTCTTATGGTTTATCTCCCTCTCTGGTTTCGTCTTGATTCATTTTTCCCTCCTTTCCCCTATGATCCTCTGTCTTGTTTCTCAAATTCCACATATCAGTGAGATCATATGATAATTGTCTTTCTCTGATTGACTTATTTCGCTTAGCATAATACCCTCTAGTTCTATCCACGTCATTGCAAATGGCAGGATTTCATTTTTTTGATGGCTGCATAGTGTTCCATTGTATATATATACCACCTCTTCTTTATCCATTCATCTGTTGATGGACAGCTAGGCTCTTTCCATAGTTTGGCTATTGTGGACATTGCTGCTATAAACATCGGGGTGCACGTACCCCTTTGGATCACTACATTTGTATCTTTGGGGTAAATACCCAGTACTGCAATTGCTGGGTCGTAGGGTAGCTCTATTTTCAACTTTTTTTTTTTAAGATTTTATTTATTTATTTGTCAGAGAGAGAGCGAGAGCAGGGGGAGTGGTAGGCAGGGGCAAAGGAAGAAGCAGGCTCCCCGCTGAGCAAGAAGCCCGATGTGGGACTTGATCCCAGGAGCCTGGGTTCATGACCTGAGCCAAAGGCAGACGCTTAACTGACTGAGCCACCCAGGCGCCCACTGTTTTCGACTTTTTGAGGAACCTCCATACTGTTTTCCAGAGTGGCTGCACCAGCTTCATTCCCACCAACAATGTAGGAGGGTTCCCCTTTCTCCACATCCTCGCCAACATCTGTCATTTCCTGACTTGTTAATTTTAGCCATCCTGACTGGTGTGAGGTGGTATCTCATTGAGATTTTGATTTGTATTTCCCTAATGCCGAGTGATGTTGAGCACTTTTTCACGTGTCTGTTGGCCATTTGGCTGTCTTCTTTGCAGAAATGTCTGTTCATGTCTTCTGCCCATTTCTTGATTGGATTATTTGTTCCTTGGGTGTTGAGTTTGATAAGTTCTTTATAGATTTTGGATACTAGCCCTTTATCTGATATGTCATTTGCAAATATCTTCTCCCATTCTGTCAGTTGTCTTTTGGTTGTGTTGATTGTTTCCTTTGCTGTGCAAAAGCTTTTTATCTTGATGAAGTCCCAGTAGTTCATTTTTGCCCTTGCTTTCCTTGCCTTTGGCGATGTTTCTAGGAAGAAGTTGCTGCGGCTGAGGTCGAAGAGGTTGCTGCCTGCATTCTCCTTTAGGATTTTGATGGATTCCTGTCTCACATTTAGGTCTTTCATCCATTTTCAATCTATTTTTGTGTGTGGTGTAAGGAAATGGTCCAGTTTCATTTTTCTGCATGTGGTTGTCAAATTTTCCCAACACCGTTTGTTGAAGAGACTGTCTTT